GAGCATGAGAGAGCACTCTTAATTAAAGAAGGAATGAGCTACGCTAGTGGTTCTAAAAACACCATTGCAAACCACCTCAGAAACGGGTAGAGAGTGGCAAAAGGCGACAGAATATAGTATATTTTTTGGCTGCAATCATATTGCAAATTTATACATTTGATTCGCTGTTTGCTACCCAGTCTAAGTTTTAGTAAGCATTACAAGGATTCTCCTTTCCAAAAAGAGTATTTTTTATCCCGTGTGTTAGCTTGCATTTTTCAAAGTGGAATTTCATTTTGTTGCTTTTTATCCCTGGTATTACCCTCTCTAGGACCCTATATTATTTCTCTGCCCTAACTGGTGTTAGGATCTTATGCAAATTTCTTTGATGTTAGTTTACTCCCAGTACATTCACAAAGTTATTAATTAAGCCTACCACCAACAATATTCCTTCTGGCATACCTGCAGACCCCTCCTCCTCAACTTGATACTTCACTATTTCTTACCCTTTGTTCAGGTCTTTTGGGCAGTTTTTAATACATTATAGAGCATGTACCCAAACAGATTTAAATTAATTCTGAATAAGGTTTCAAGAGACACTACACATCAAATGCTTTATAATAATGTAAATATTACCCCTCACTGCTTTTATCCACTAATTTTTTAGTGCTATAAGACAAATGCTATCAAGTTTTCCTTGGAAAAATCTTTTCTTTATAAATCCCTGGCACTTATTTCTCAGGGCTCTGCTATTCTTTATTTATTGATTTCTCTTAGTATTTGTTCCTTTACTTTACTCGAGTTTGAAGGTAGATTTATGGGAAAGTAAGTATCAGGATCACTTTTGAAAGTTACTAAATTTTTTTTTCTCGCTAATATTTTTCAGTTTTTCTAGACTTTTAAAAATTATTGATCACATAGCAAGTACATTTATTGTTTCCCTTCATACTGACACATCAATGTCTTCAAATACTGAAAATATACATAGTATAAAATTATTCTACATCTGAAGTAATAATGCCTCTAAAGGAAAAGATAATAAAAAATGAAATATTATGAATTCTACAGGAGATTTTACAAGAACAGATTAACTCCTGAGAAACAAAGATTCTGTTTGCATGTTACTTGTGGGGAAGGGCAGGAGGCAAACTACGAGAAGCAGATTCGCTTCTAAACTTAATATTTATCAAGTTTTCAGAAGCGTCATTTGGTGTTTAATATTTTAAACAACATTTGACATGACCATAATGTAAGAGTGTCTTATCAGGACTGGGACTCCCATTGTGCTAGATGCATAAAAACACACAGGAAAAAAGGAAGAAAAATCAATGCCTTGAAAAGCTTGCAATCAAATTTTAAAAGAGCTGAACTAAACAATTTCCTCTGAGTAAAGATACGCTATAATGAACACTAGAAAGCAGAAAACATTTAGCTGCAGTCTTAACATTGACCATGATTGTTTTGTGATGACCACAGGATATATTTGAATGTAACCAAAGAAAATTAGATACACTGCAATAAAATATAGTATAACAACTGACTTTTCAAGTGAGGACAAAAGTAAGCAATAAAGGAGTCATACCAATGAGAAGACTCTTCATCCAGTTATTAAAATTTCTGAGGAAGAAAATGCGACTCTGGCTACGTTTTTCTAGTCCAACTTCTTGAAGTTCATTGTAATGTGCTGCTACAGTTTGCCCATGTCCTTCTTCCAAATGCTATACACAATGAAAAATAAGAGAATCAAAGGAGAAAGTGTGAACACACTTCAGTGTTTAATTAAAAAGACTCATGCTGAGCACAGGTTTTTAAAACACATCAGAAGTAATGGCAAAGTTTACTGGGTTCATTTACATAAGACTATTTCCCAACTCCTCTCTTGATCACTGTCCTGAGTTCTTTAATTCCAACCAAAGAGGAGGACACTCTTTAATACCTAACACCATTATTATTATTAGTTATTTGTATTGCTAGAGCACCTAAGTCCCCCAGTCATAGTCCAGGATCCCACTGTGCTAGACACTGTACAAACAGAACTGGCCAAAGTGGTTCCTGCTGAGTGATTCAAGGCATCTCTTCATTGCAGAAAGATGGTTTAAGTTCTTGAATGCTATTCCCATTGTTCACTGAAAGAATCAATTTCATCCCAGCGAAGCCATGGATTTAAGGGCTGTATGTACATTCTCCAAAAGTTATTCCAAAGTAGAACTTAAAAGAAATTTAGTACACCTCTACCCCGATATAACGCGACCCGATATAACATGAATTCGGATACAATGTGGTAAAGCAGTGCTCCGGCGGGGGGGGGGGGAGGGGGGCGCACTCCGGCAGATTAAAGCAAGTTCAATATAACGCGGTTTCACGTATAATGCGGTAAGATTTTTTGTCTCCCGAGGACAGCGTTATATCGAGGTAGAGGTGTATCAGAAACCCATTTTGAATTCACAGCTTCAGGGTACATCTAAACTACAGCAGCATAGCTATGGCACTGTGCTGCAGTTGTGCTGCTGTAGCACTGTAATGTAGATCCTTTCTTTGATGTAAGAAGAAGCGACTTTTCCATCAATACAAATAACCCATCTCTCCAACAGCTATGTCAATCTAGCCACCTGTACATAGGGGGGTAGGTTGAACTATCACACAGAGTGCAAAAATTTGTACAGCCCTGAGCCACGTAGCTAGATCAACCTAGAAGTGTAGCCTGATCTCAGAAACCCTTTCTAAATGTAGAACAACAGATACATATTCACTGTTCATTTAATCCAACTGCCAGCTGGAGAGCTGGAGCCTCAGACCCCAGAACTCGAGGGCTGGATTAAAACGGCTGATGTGCCAGATCCGGCCCGCGGGCCATAGTTTGCCCACCCCAGTTTAAAGTCTCTCATCATTCTAATTACCATCTTTCTTCCCAGTTCCTTCAGTTCCAACAAAATTCTGCATACAGTTTTCAGACAATAGCAGCAGATGCTAAAATTAGCTGCTAAAGTTTTAAATATACACTGTAAAAATGCTTGTTATAAAAACTTTAAGGATCCATAAACTTCTCTAAACCCACATCCTGAAACAAAGATTTTAATACTTGCCTACTGTTCAGACAGAACTGAAAACAGATAATACTTACCACTTTTCTAGGATGATCTTCAAGTTCTGATTTTCTCTTTTTTGATGTGCTGTCCTCATGGTCACTAACATCTTCCTTTTCATTTCCAGCACAATGCCCTTTACCTGAAGTTGTATTATTGTCATCCGAACTGACAGCAGACTCTGCTTCTGAAGCTTTAGATGTTGTACTATCTCCTTCCTCAACTAAGCTCTTTTCTAACTCTTGTTCTTCAACCCTGCTCGAATCAGACATGTTGGAGGTTATTCTTCTTGTTGCTTGATCAAACAGGAATCAGTGTTTTTTTCATAAATAAATTCTGTGAGAAAAGTGAGATTTGACTTTCAGTTTACAATTTATACTTGTTCTTCCTTACATTATAAGAGCCCCATACCTAGTGCTGTAGAAACAAATTAAAATCAGTTTTTACTACAGAGTGCACACAATCTAGCCCTCATATTTGATTAGTCAAAAGAAGACAGCAGGTTAAAAAGTAACATTTTAGATGTATTCAATTGGGTTTAACCCAGATAACACCCAAGTTACCATATGAGTTTCTCTCTCTGTTCCAGTTTATTTTGAGCATTTGACAGGACTTTGGTACAGCTAGCTTCACTGTTTCCTCTGAGCAGCTCTCCTGTTAGTGTGATTCTGTCACACAAAAGAGAGGAAAGAAAAAAAATTAAAATTAGGAAAACAAGGTGGTTAAAAGCAAGGGCTGGCAGAAAGGTATGGGGCTGGCATAGCCCAGGTAAGGGCCAGACACTCCTGTCCCCAGCTGACTAGATTTCAAGCTGACGTTTTTCAGAGTCTAAAGCCAAAAGGGACCATTAGCTCATCCACTGAGTAGCAAGGGCCGCTGGGTCTCGCTCCGCACCTCAGCTCTGTCCGGCTAGGCCCAAGGCAGCCAGGTGACGCCGCCCCCCACGTTCTGGCCCGGTCCCAGCCTCACGCGCTTGTACCAGCTGGCACTTGGCCTAGGCCCAGGCCCCCGGCAAAGGGGGAACTAGGGCGGGGCTCCGGGCGGCAAAGCCCCGCCCCCCCGCGGGGAGTCAGATACCCCCCGTCTCTGGCACTCGCCCCCACCCTCCTCTTCCGGGACCCCCGAGCAGTAGCAGAGACTCTTGGCAGGTCACCTTCACGAACCACGACCCCCCCCCCCCGACAACCTCCAAAGGGGCGGGGCGATGAGGATGGAACAGCTCCTCCTCCCCCAAACACCGGGCCCAGGCCCCGCCCCTTCGGCCCACCCCCCATCCCTGCGCCTCTCACTGCCCCGCCCTCCCAGGGCACATGCAGACGCTAGCGCGAGCCCCATCCCGTCCCCCGGCAACAGCGCCCTCGCGCACCTCCCTCTTCTGCGTCCCAGCTAGCAATCAACAAGCGACTGCGAGTCCCCCCCCCCACCCCGGCACTGCACCACTTTGCCCCGCCCCCTTCCTCCGCAGAGCGCGCGCGCAGTCCTTCGCCCTGTCTCCTCCCCTGCGGCGCGCGCGGGAACGTGAGCGTCGCCCCCGCCCCCAAACTTCCCGCTCTGCGGAAAGCAAATGACTCGAACCGCAGAAGCGGGGCGGGCGCACGGAAGCGGTTTCCTGAAGGGACGCTTCGCGCTTCATGCTCCGAGACCGGCCTGTGCCCCCCATCCGCGCGCGGCTCCTCAGGACCGAGGAACGTACCGGGCTGAGAGTCTGCGCAGCGCTCACCAAACCAGGCTTTCCGCCATCCTGTTTGCGGAAGTGACGCACATAGAAAGCTTTGAGATGTTTATGTCATATCCGGTGGGGGGGAACGGAGGATGAGAGAGCCGCAGTGGGGCACCAAATGCGCACGCGCATACGTGACTCTTCTCCAGTCTAGAGCGCATCTGAAGGGAGGGAATGGGCCGGGAAGACAGCGGCCTGACGATTTCCAGGACTACAGTCCCCAGAAGGCCTTGCAGTGGAGCATGCGCAGTGTGAACACTCGGGCCTGAAGGTGGTGGGGCTCCGGGGAGCAGTTTAGTACAAACACGTTGCCTGGAGGCAGGGCGAGGCCGTTGCAGTCGGGTCCCAGCGCAGCCCTCCGCGCGTGACCTTGTGGCTCCGGCCCTATGGAGCAGCGGTCTGAGCGCAAGGTACGATCCCCGCGTTCTGCCGGCAGGGGCGGGCGGGGGGCGCGTCGGGCTCGGGGGTCCCTGGTCGGCGGGGAGCGAGGGGCGCGACCCCGGGCAGCCTGACCCTCCGCCCGCCCCCCGAGACAGCGCTTGGGCCTCTGCCCCGGCCCCGGCCCGCCGCGGGTGCCGCCCCCAGGCACCTGCAGCAGAGCGGTGCGGGGAGGAGACGTGCTGCGCGCCGCCGAGGGCCTCCCTCCTCCTCCGCGGCCGAGGCGGTCGGTGTCGAAACGTGCTGCTGCCGCCCCAGCGCTGGAGAGGGCGCTCCCCGGCAATCGCCCTGACCGCTCCCTGCTTTGGAAACCACACTTCGGTCAGGCCCCACGAGCGAAGGCGGCCGCGAAGGCGCTTGTGTCTGAATTTGCTGTTGTGTAAAAGTGCTTTTGCCACCTCAGCTGTGCTCGCTCCAGCATGTTTCCGTTCCCTCCGAGAAACAAGTCTGGGTGCGCCTTGACTCTTTACACTCCGTGAGCTGCTTTCTCTGAGAACGTGTTGGAGCAATGTATTCTGCTTTCTATGTGAATAATTTCTACGGTCATAGGATGTGGCTACAGCTAATGCAAGTAGAGAGGGTCCTTTTCAGGCAGGGACGGGAGCCTCAGATTTGAGAAATCTTCCTCGTTCTCCTCCTCCCACGTTCTGATCTCTTGTTCTCTGCCTTTTTTGCAAGGAGGCAGCAGGATCCTGCCTACTGAGTGTTCGGGGTTTTCTTTGCTCCCACCTTGCCTCAGCTAACCTCCCTAGTCGCCCATATATCTGATCTTAAATGGTCTGTATCATAAAAGTATGCAGGAAAAGAGAGGTCCTTCCTCCTAGTACTTTGGACTCCAGGAATGGAAAGTAAAAGTCAAAAGGAATGATGCCTTTCTTTTATTGTGGTTATGCTAAGAATTGTAGGAATACAAAGTAACACTTTTTTCTCTGCAAACTCTTTAAGGAGATTGCTGAGGTTGTCCTCCAATAAATTCAACGTGATAAAAGGAAGGAGTAAAAGTCTTTGCTGCTTTAATTATGCCCGCATTGTTAAAACGGCAAAAACACTATAGCATAGGCTCAGTTATATTAACATATAAGCACTTTTATAGCACTACAACTGCATCTACACTAGAACTTACACCAGCATAACCATGTTGGTAACAAAAAAAATGACACTTCTTACCAACATAGTTATGTCAGTCAAACTTAAGTATAGACTAAGCTGAATTTTGAAGATGTCAACCTCTTCAAGAACAAACCCAGAGAGCAAAGAAAGCAAGCCAGGATGCTGATTCCTACCCAAATGCAGTTGTTTGTTTTTGAGGCTACCTTGTGTTCCTGAATGTAAGATTAGATTTGAAAAAAATATCCTTCTTAAAGCGAACAAAATGTAAAATACAGCCAGGTCTATCCATATTTTCAGTAAGCCTGAAAGAATTGCTAAGAGTTGTGAACTGCCCCGTTCATCTCAATAGGGCTTTAATTCAGATGCCATCTGATAGCTATTAACATTAACTACTTCACTGTTCCTCTCTTACATGTTTTGATCAGCAATCAAATCATGAATATGAGCACAGTTTGCTGTGATATTTTATTTTGACTCCACGAGAAGGCGGTGCTTAAGTGTGTGTCACACCACTCCCTCCACCTCAATGTGACGCGTGGAGCCTATAAAGCAAGGGGTGAGAGTGGAGCTCAGGGAACAGGTGTGGGGGAGGAGACGTACCCATACCCCATCAAGAGAAAGTCAGAGCATCTCTTTTCTGGCTATGTTTACGCTACGGACCTCACAGAAGCACAGCTGTACCGCTACATCTACACTGCTGTAAGGTCTCACGTGTAGCCGCTCTATGCCAGCAGCAGAGAGCTTTTCTGCCAGCATAATTAGACCACCCCCAATGAGCAGCGGTAGCTATGCCGGCAGGAGAGCATTTCCCACTGACAAAGAGCTGTCCACACTGGTGCTTTTGTCGGTGAAACTTATCTTGGTCAGGGTTTTTTTTTCCCCCACAAACAAAAGTGCTAGTGTAGACAAAGCCTCTGAAGTGTTAACTTGGGTGATTGTGTCTGATCACTTGGTTGGTCTACTGTGGGTGATGGCTGTCACACTTGCAAAGCCATACTTGAGCTGCTGCATTCACGCTAGTGTAAAGTGTTAGAAATTCTGGGGTCAAAACTCATGGTTCTTAGTGCTTCAGACCAGTTCCCTTGAACCACATTTTTAGGGATCTGCTTGAGGTACTTTGTAGTCTACAGGAGATTTGGAATCTGAGGCTGATCCTTGCCCTAAAGTGGCTGAATCCGTTCGTTAAATATCAGTAGATCTAGCTAGAATCTTGATAATTCACTATAGTGGTGAATTCCTGATGTTTTCAGTGGGTCAGCTACATTTCCAATAGACTTTTATCTCAGACTTTCACTAAGAAAATGATGATAAAAGCAGATACTCTGACAGGAGAGTCCTCTCTAATCATCTTTCTCTCAGGCTTGGTCTACACTACCCCCCTAATTCGAACTAAGGTACGCAACTTCAGCTACGT